GTCGCTCGTGGTGGTTGGCACGGTTCCAGATTCCGGTTGCTTCTTTCGATGAGTAATTGCCGATCTCATTTCCAGATTTTCCTTTTTTCAGAACAGATTTTTGGCCGTTTTTTTGTAATTGGGATGAAATTTTTGGATATTTTGGATGAATCTCACCTGATTTTGCTCAAAGACAGTATTTTTCTTGATTCCTACGAAAGTGATGTGAGAGACACTAGAGGCTCTCAATGAAAGCACCAATGTTGGTCCAAAATAGGACGCTCGTAGGCTTTTAGGAAAGCTACGTACGAAACTCAAGCAAGAATTAGGAAAGTACGAATATGGAAAGTTAGCCAGAAATAACATATAGAAATTGCTTCCCCTAATCTGAATTACAACATGCCTTTTATAGACGTATACGAATCGTAACCGCTACCGATAATAATGATTAACTAATTACAACATTAATAAAGAATTAAATACATAATTAATAGTGCATTAATTGCTTGACCGTTACTCTTCCGGGCTGGGAGGTCGGTCGGACTGGCAGGCTTCCCGCTGGGTTGGCAGGCAGGCTCTAGGTTGTGGACTTGGATCCACGGGTCCAAGTTCGGGGCTTGGGCTGATTAGGCTCTGGGCCTAGTCCTATTACTCCATCAGCCTGCATTTTCTTAGGACCGACCCTGTTTACAGCTACATTCTCATCTTTAAAAGGAGGTACTACTCGGTAATCATCTATCTTTACTTGATTTTTTATCTACTGATCTGCATTCTACAATAATTTAACTCTATAGTTACCTAGTACTCCTAAGATATCCACCTGACCAGGGATTCGACTAGATCAGTGTACCGTCTGTTTGAGAGATTTGGGGAGAAATGCTTTAGTGTTTGGGAATTAAGGTTTTATAAAATAGAAAGTTCAACGAAATTTGTTATTTTTCAGTGGAAAGTAATTTGTAATCGTAAAAGCTTTGAATCACATCTTATCCATTTTTAGGAACATTCTATTTATCAAGGTATAGATAGATTAAAAGAGTGTTTACGATTGCTTCTACTTTGATATTGTTAAAATAGTAAAATTTGATATTGTTTTATTTCCATCATTTGCATTGGAGCCAAGGAGCCACTATTTTTTGGCTTGGGAGTATGTTGGAATAAGGCAAGATGATTCACTAAACTGTTTGCGCTTCTTTGTTATGAGGCAGTTGTCAATCCATGCAATTTTTGACGCAATTTTCACAATGGATCATACGGAAACGGTCTCTCTGTGCTTTAGTGCAGAGGTAGTACTGCGTACATCCGACCCCTTTTACCTCACCATAGGTGGGAACCTTTACGGCACTGGGGTAATGATGATGATGATAGATAGTTCGTATTATTTAACATTATTTTTCCTACAAAATGCAAGATATTTTATCATATTTTGCGTGTAGATTATTATATGTGCTACAATGCAAATTATGTTATACTTTAATAATCAAACAGGAAATTAGAAATAGACCGTCACAGCCATGATACATCGGTTAAGATGTGCTCTTATAGGTGTTTGGAAAATAACAATTAAACAAAAAACAACAGTTTGATCCTTTTTGGCGTTTCAATTAAGTGAAAATGTTGTTTAATAAATAACTATTCGAGCTTAGCATTTTTAAAACATTATTGCAAATAGCAGAGCGTCTTGGGTTAGCTTTTTGAAATAGGGTGTTATCGGTTAATCACTAATTCGCTATGGTCAAACAAGCCTCTTGATCGAAATTGATATTACTCGTCTCGGCTGTTTAAGTTGGATTTTGAATCATTTGTCTTTTAGAGATTTACCTAAGCATGATCAAAACATATAAAAAACGTCCTGCAAAACATCTCTTATACGGGATCAACATTTGAAATACTCCGTAATAAATTACCCCTCCGGTCCCAAAGTCATATTTGTAATTATTTTAAATCTAGTTAAAGCAACAAACAATATAGATAGGTACAATATAGCTCTAATTTTCTGTTTTCGATTTCCAGTTTTCTATTTTCAAATGTGAAAACATGTTCAACAATTTTTCACTCGATTCTTGAATCCACCTGGTACAACCCAAATAGGATTCTCGGTCCCAGGTATATGAAAGTTGAGAGCGAAACTGCCCATCCCCGGGCGATCCCAACGACAAGTTTGACTAATTATTTTCCTTTTCACCATTGTTTGACAACTCAATAGGTCTTCCGAAACTCTGCAATTTGAAATATTGTTTTAAAAAATGGAGACCAAATTAGGACAAGGACTGCCAAATCATCGATCAAAGCGGATCAAAACTGAGACCGGAGGGGGTCCAAACCAGAGCGGGACCGGGTCAACCATTAGGCGTAAGAAGGTAAATTCATTGCGGTAACACTATATCGTTCACACATTTCAAAATTAGAAAAACTAAAAACTCACTTCTCCAGTCCATTAAGGTAAATACAAATATATATCATTTTTTTGGAAAATGATTTAGTAAACGCATTTTCCTGTTTTCATTTTTTCGATTTTCCATCAACTTGTTTCGATAAACACGTTTTGATGTTTGCCTTTTTTACCTTTTTCATTTTTTTTTTCTAAAAATATATCTAGTAGTAAACATCCCCTAAGTTTTTCACTTCCGGGTTTTAAAACTCATCCTGTCATCCATATAGACTGGAATTCTGGAAATAAGTCGATGTAGTCAAACTGTAACTAAATTAAACTAAACCGTAAAAAATAAAATCAAATGCAAAAATTCGAACAAAAATTTAGTTTAAACTAAAAATTCACAAAATATTAAATCGTTCTTCCTAAGTTGTAAATTTATATTTGACGGATATACTATAATTTTAGTGTGAAAACAATTTGAAGCACTTTATGTGATCTATTACAAGTTTGGATACTTTTTATTCTATACGAGACAAGTTAAAATATTTTATGAACTCCTTTGTATGTAAATTCATATACTCCTTAATCTATTGAATCATGCACCAAATTGACATTTTACTTCTTTTTATTTTGATTCTACAATTGATTTTGGATAAAACCCGGCCTAAAAATAGGGAATGAAAATTGTGACCGGTCTGATGGACATCTGTATCGAACCGCCCTAGTCGAACGTGGAAAACTGCATTGATCGGTCAACTAGTATGGAGCGGGGAATATCCATTTTGTTTTTACGAGTAAAGGGGCGGTTATGATTTTATATATGTATGTCCCATTTCCTGTCATGTACCCGCTCCATTTTTTCGCTATATTTTTTATTACATTTTTATCCATTATTTGTCCCACAACTACTAAAAGATGAGTTGTTTCTCTTTATTGTGTATATATGAATGATAGGTGTACCAACCATAGCGTATGAATGAAAGTTTATAATTGATTTTAATAGTCTGGTTTGATTCTTATCAGATTTTGTTCGTGATTAGTTATTTTTCAAATTAAGTATTTTTAGGTTCAAATTAATTTAGGTTGGTTTCTTTTTGTCTTGTACATATACGAATCTTTATAGTGTTGTCTCAAATATAGAGTCATCTAGGCGATGTCATTTTTCGCTTTTTAAAACATTTATTTTATATTAAAATATAAATGACTCATTTAGTAAAGCAATTATCGGCAACTATACCATTGTTCCAAAAAGGTGAAATCTCCCACCCCAGGAGCCCCCCCACCCCGACCCGACAGGATGGTGGGGAGGTTAGTCACGGTGACTCAGTCAGCAGAATGACAATAGGCCCATACACCCGTGCGCACCAGAGGCCCGGTCTTATTTTAGGTTCTGTGACCTCCACCCGGTCGCTGCGGGGATTCGAACCTTGGTCCATTGTTCCAAATCTCCCACCACTCGACCAACTGAGCTACCTGTGCGGATTATCCGCAACTATACCAATTACTTGTTGGACGGTTATAATTTGAATAAAAATTACCCGTTGGATAATTGGACGGTTAGGGAGCGGAGAAATTAACGACCCGGCGAATTCACTCATATGTAAAAGGTAAAACTCTTTGATCCCTCCTTTTCCATCCCTAGGGGTGGGTAGAAATACCGAAAAATCGGTATACCGCACTTACCGTACCGAAAAATACCGGAAAATACCGAAATATTGGTATACCATCATTTTCGGTACGGTATCATACCATACCAATTTATTTCGGTAAGGTAACGGTAAATGTTTTCAAACACCGTGGTATACCGGTATTATACCGTACCGATTCCCTACCAACAATTACTTTAAATTCTAAAGTATTGTAAACTCCATTACAATTTTGAAGCCCAAAATTAATACTTAGGTTGGTTACAAATACTAAAATACAAAAATAAAAGCTCAATTTCCCAAACCAACTATAATATTCTAGGTTTCTCGTAACATTTAAACAAACTAACTCTAATGACTAATGAGTAATGTACTAATGTCCAGAAACCAGTCTATCTTCACGATGGATGAACCGCTGAGTAGCGGACGAGTGAAGAGGGATACACTTATGTGATGAGTGTATCTACATAAGGATTCCGCGAGTCGAGTCACGCAACTTTGTCTGAAATTATTATTCAAATATTTTTTAAAAACTATAAAAATGACTAAATACACAATATCATATTAGGGATTTATGATTTTATATTCATGTTGTTTGAATAATTTTATTTATATTTGTTAGAGGTCACTGTTCATATAATTATATCTATATTGCTCAAGTTATTTCAGAAGAATATGTTATTTTTTAATAAGTGGAATGTTGAACTGCTTAAATATACTAATAATAATTATTGTGCAATATTGAATATGACATCAATAGATTATTAATTGTATTTTGTAACATTCTAATAATGGATTAAATATGTCGCTAGTAACACCGATTTAGTATATTTTGTTAGTTCATCATAATTTGTTGTATTGAGAGACATGCATGATAATTTACCGTATCATTACCGAACCGAAACTTCTGTATACCAAAATGCGATATACCGAAACTTCAACAAGGTAACGGTGTATATAAATTTCGTATACGGAAAGTTTTGATACGACAAATGTATGTGAGAAAATATTCTTTTTACCATAAATCAACCCCAACCGGATTGAAAAACTGGTACTATATAATTTCGATTCGACACACTGCCGCGTACTTCATGCCTCAAAAGCCCTAACCTTTCGTCCTCCAATCCGCAGAGGCAAAACCCTAGGAACAAGATTCAGCAAAGATGTCGATGTCGAAGAGTTCCAAGATGCTACAATACATCAATTATCGGATGAGGGTGACGATCCAGGACGGGCGTCAGCTGATTGGTAAATTCATGGCATTTGATCGCCATATGAACCTCGTCCTCGGCGACTGCGAGGAGTTCCGTAAGCTTCCGCCGACGAAGGGCTCCAAAGAAGAGCGAGAAGACCGCCGCACTCTTGGCCTCCTCCTACTCCGTGGAGAAGAGGTAATCTCCATGACTGTTGAGGGCCCGCCTCCACCGGACGAGTCCCGTGTGAAGGCTACTTCAGCCGCGAATGCTGTTCCCGGACCAGGCATGGGTCGTGCCGCTGGGAGAGGTGTTCCGACCGGTCCCCTGGTTCAGGCCCAGCCCGGACTTGCTGGGCCGGTTCGTGGTGTTGGCGGGCCTGCTCCCGGAATGATGCAGCCTCACTTATCCAGGCCTCCGATGCCTCAGGTGTCCGCTCCGCCGATCAATTACCCACCTCAGCAGCAGCCCCCTATGATGAGACCCGGCCCACCGATGGCCCCCCCACCGCAACAGATGATGGCAAGACCCGGTGGGCCTCCCATGCCACCGCAGTTCAGACCTGGCGGTCCTCCACCTCCCGGTCAGTTCCCGCACCAGTTCGGGCAGAGGCCGATGATGCCTCCCCCACAGATGATGAGGGGTCCACCACCTCCCGGGGCTCCAAGGCCAGGTATGCCCCCTGGACAACCTCCCCGCCCTGGTATGCCACCTCCAGGAGGTCTTTACGGCCCACCCCGTCCTGGAATGCAGCCTCCTCAGAATCAGCAGCAGTAAACTCTCAGTATGTATCGTGATGATTTGTGGCCATTTTCTTAGCTGTTTTGTTGAAGTCTTACTGTAAACAATCGTATCAAAAACATGTTTGGTTCTCGTGACCATGATGCTCTCCCTTTGGTTGAGTTTGTTCAATATTCCTTCTTGGATTTGAGGCTTTCTCCATATGATACTTTTTTCAAAATTTAATTTGATCTTTCTTTTAGTCTTTGTCTCACTTTAGAGGAGGGGGTTGAAAAGTGGATGAAGAATCTCAAGCGAAATTTTGATATTCATGATTGCTAGGGATATGTCCCTTTTATATGCCAGTAATGACACTTCACTCATTTCGTGATTCATGAATTTGATGCATTTCAGTTCTGATAATTTGGCAGGTCTGAGTTGATTATTTTTGTAGAGCACATATATATATATATATATTTATCCACTTTTTATGATATGGTTTCATTAATTTAACATTCAGCGTCTTTTTTATTAGACTAAAATATGGTAATGCTTTATCCCCCTGTAGATGGCATAATGTTAGCTTCGCATTTGAAAAGTTATGCTACCCTGCATTTATGTTAGCATGATTGTCATTCTTAATATCTTACATAAGTGGATGTGGTTCCATATTCTGTTACAAGACCTTGAAGATGGTTCCATATTTTTACAAGAACTTAGTGCAAGTCTCTTCTTTTTCTCTCACCTTGAGGTGATTGCGTTATATATTTTTTGCATTGTTGAGTGTGGATGTTGTGCAACTGAGCAGAGTTTATAGACTAATATTTTTACAAGAACTTGTTGAGTTTATAGACAGAGTTTATAAAGTTATAAAGCAAGGATTAGTTATTGAAGAATATAATTTTGCAATTATTATTGGATGGTGTCCTGTATTTATACTGGAGATGTATAGTAATATATGCATAAATGCATAATAGTTATAGCTATTACTACCCACCTCATGACCTTGGTTCATTCAGCTAACAATGTCATTACCATTACATCTACAAGCTTTTGGTCTTCTCACCTTTGCATATTTAATTGATAGCATGAACTGTACTAATTAAGCTGAGGTATAAACAAATATCATAAACATGTACATAGGTATATAAAGCACATCGGTTGTATGGAGTTTATGAACATAGTGGTGATTACAATCATGCATTGAGTTCACCTGCCCGAGTTGTAACATCAGAGCAACATATATTCTTCATCCACCTGATCGTTGGATTAAGATATGTGCATTCCTCTTTCACGTTGAGTGTTTGTTTGCAGCACTCGTCGCTGAATGTACAAGTCCATGAGTAAGCGTCCTTCACTATCTCATGCTGGTGCATTTTTGTGCATCTTTCTATCACTGCCTCCACGGTAGGGCACTTTTCCCCGCTGTGATCCTCAGGTGTTGGTATTGTTTGACTATGGGTAGGGTTTTGTTTCACATGCTGTGGTTGTGTTGGGTTCTTAGATGCTGTTGTTTGGGTAGGGTTCTCATGAGCGAGCAGTTTCTTGGGGATGTACTGTTCACAAGTGTAGCGGCAGTGGTAAAGTGGAGTAAGAGTGTGATCCCTCCACTCGGCTAATATCTCTTGTACTCGTTTCTTGAAGATATCGGCAACATGCGGTTCAAAATGGTTGTAAAAACTCTCATGTGGGAACCAAGGAGAATGAAAGACTGGAAGAGGTGGTGGTCGCATTCCAGAAGGACCCCATATGCTGGAGTTAGATGTGTAGGTTTCCTCTTCGAGTATTTTGTGACCACCAGCATTGGTGGTGGCGGTAGGATTGGGGAGGGTGTTTGCAACGGAGGAGAGAACAAGGAACAAACTTACAACCAAACTCCCGATCATGATCTTCATATTCAAGTTTGTGTGTTTGGGTTGTGGGGTGGTGTTTCTGCTCTTCACAAATCTCTTATATTGGGGATTGAGATGTGAATCATGTGAGGTTTTGTTACGTCTTGGAAAGAGTTTATCATCATCAACTTCGCATGTTTATTTCCGTTTTAAAATAACAGGAAACATGCACTTTTCTCCCCTTTTTATTTAAACCAATCACCGAGTGAAAAAACAGAGCAGCACTTGACCAGAGGTAAAACAGTAAGAATGTAAATTCGCGTACAATTAATTTAATGCGAAAGGCACGAATTTGCCATCACTAGAGCCATCTACCCTTGGACTATTTTAATGTCATTGTTAGTTGTAAAATTAAATTGTAAAATTCTTGGCAACGCCTGCCTTCATCATCAATCTATAACAACAATGTTGTTACTATATTTTCTCTTCCTCCTTCTAGCTTTCCTCAACATGCGTTTAATATCATCCTTCGAATCGTCCATTGTGAATTTTCCTGAGCCTTTTTCATGAAAGACATGATATGTAATTTGACTTGATCCAACATGTAAAAAAGCAGTTAAACTTTTTGTGGTTCTTTATAATGGTGCACTGTGGGAGAGAAGATGTAAATTACCGGATCCCTTTCCGTTAAGCAAGCAAGAAAAGCCTCCATCGCTATCCTCTTCTACCTCTACGATAACATTATGCTGAATTCCGTGCAAAAGTAATCGTTTATCAGAAAGAAAATAACAGATAAATATGTGGAGTATAACAGATTAAAAAATATACGGAGTACGTAGTATTATTTTAGACACTATTCTATATTACAATAGCACCTTATGTAAAACTTAGTTTTGATCACGTAATATGCCAGGGAGATGAAAGAGTATGTTACGGAAGTTAGTATTGCCTGTTTGGATTTACTTTAAAAATGCAATCAAAACTAAATATTACGTACGCTAGATTTTTTAATTTGCTACATAGGTTTAGTTTTCTTACTTCGTACGGAGTAGTAATTATATGAAAGAAGTAAACGAATTCGAACAAATATTAAAATTCATTCTGTGGGATTGAAACAATCTTTATTTTCTTCAACTTTTCTTTCGATTTGTAGTTCTAATTTTCTTTCTCTAGTAATTTCTCACATTCCAAAAAGACCATAACTGAAAAACCAATCCACTCTTTCCACCCTGGCACTCCCGAATGTTTATTTTGTTTCACCGCCCCTCCTTTATCAAGCAGATAGAGCTCTGGCTTTACCTGTTTAACAGACAATGAGTCCTTGTCGAGTCTTTGAGTGGTATTTATTCCATTCTTGTTGATTTGTTCATGTTTTGCCGAATGCCAGCTTCCCATCTCAATCTTTGGCAAGGAAAATGTTTGTTCATTGCTATGCCTTTCATGGGCATGCCCTGTACTATAGAATGCGAGCGAAACACTTAATTGAGTCACTTAATACACGATAAGAAACAAAAGCAAATACAAATTAGTACTCGTATAATATGAAGAAGTATGTACTTGCTCTGGGTTAAAGATGGCAACAAAATGGCCCCATTAATAGTTTAATACACCATCATCACAAAAAAAACCACTACCTGCACTCTATATTTTTTATCTCAAACTGCATAGGCTTAATTGTTTGTTGTAAGGATTCACATGTCTTTCTTCTCCGCTCTTAACTTCCAATTACAATCACTTTAATCTGTTCTGGAAAGACCGCTTTAAGAGGAAACATTATACACTTCCTATGCTCTCTGCTTGACAATGTGCACTCCCTAACTTATTTTTAGACAGCAAAGGGGTGGTCCATATTAATAAACTATTCACCACATTTATCATGTTATGAAGATCACATATTTTATTTTAAGACTAAACATACAACATCCAATTCCTCCTAGTAGAGATTTTTCTGACATAGGAAGTAACCTCCGGATGTCCTGATAAACATTTCATAGTTCATAATTGAGGCAATGTAAATACACTATTTGAGAAGTGTAAAGCACATCTAAAGGTTAAAATTTCCAGAGCATACGTTAAATATTTCTGATCAAGCAATGAAATACGGTTGTTGACGCCCTGCACAAACAAAGTAGTTTAAGTTTTTTTTAAATATTGCAAACAAATAAAATAAAAGCTGTAAAAATATTTGGTATTTTGTCTTGGAGAGAAAGAGCACTTCAGGTGGCGTGGCAGCAACTGCAAATTTCTGAGAGAGAACCTTCAGGCCATCAGCCACAGCCTGCATGCGATTAAGGTCATAGCTATTGAGTAAGCTCACCCATTTAGTATGGATATAAAATGCTGAACTCATACAAAAAACTCAAATTTGCATGTATTTCAAGATTTGTCAGGATACTTGCATGTATTTCCTCCATCAAACTTTTCTTGATATCATCTCTTAATTTGGCTACACAAGTTTCAATTGTGTCGGGCAGCACTGAAACGACTGAGGATTTCTCTATGAAGTGTTCTTGAGGTAAATTCCGCCTAAGCTCTTCGCTCATGGATTTGGAAAGTCCCTCAAGGCATGCTTTGATATTTTCTTGTCCAGAGCTACTCTGCGTTATACCACTTTCTCCAATCAGAACACTTGCCAGCAGAAGAACACACACAGTTACACAAAAAAAATCCATTGCATAAGAATAAGAAATGAAGACTAGAGAAGGCATTATTAGTTTGCTACCATCATTTGCACTGCTTCATCATGAGCCACCAACTTCTTCCATAAACTTTCCGCTGAAAATGAAAAAAAATGACGAATAAATCAATAAAAAACAGCACAACATTTTTTACCATAATGTCCATCTACTCACCTCTCGCATGCACATTAACATGTGAGATTTATTCAACAAATTTGAAAGCTGTATGTTTCTGGCTAATATGTAATGTGCATACGAAAGCACATCAGACATGGTTAAGCTAGGTAATAACCAGCTTCATGTCCATGTACAGATGCACTTGTCATGCTATACACTGGACTTGCTGAGGTGTGGCAATAGGCATTAAAAGAGTTTTTTGGAGATCATTTGGTTATTGTTCCAACCATGAGCTCATTGCGTGTCAAATACTTACTCCCTGATGACATCTCTTTTATTTCTCTTTTCACTTGTATCACATCACTTTGGATGGAGTCAAGGATCATTCCGAACCTATTCAGTGAAGTTTCTATCACTCCAATTCTGTGTTCAAGTTCTTCACTTATTTGGCCTGTTCAAAAACACAATCCAGAAGCAGTTTTTACCACTGGTTAACTAACTGTTTATGTATCCAAATTAATCAAAGGTACTAGACTAGCAAGCTGAAAGTCAGACATACATCTGAATTCATGGGCAGACCGCTTGTGCATATAGTTGGTTGAATTTCTTGGTAACTGCAATTGACTATCCTCCTTTGAGAAGTTTGTCAGAGGCAAGCAAGATGTTCTCCTTCCAGTACTGTCTTTTTCTTGGGAATCGAACCTCTAAAATGTTATAGTTATAAAATCAAATAGAGTCGCCGAGAAAAGTTAGCCTGAATGTTTTTCAATTCTTAGTAAAACAGTAAATAAAGTTGTGATGATCAAGAAAAAAATCATCAAGTCGTCAAAAAATTATCCACAATAGCGCACTCACCACAGAACCCAACCACACTCCCTTCATTAGATAAATTAAACTTTCTAACGCTAGGGTAGCAGTGTAGCACTATAGTCATACGCTGTTAACTGAAAACATTTTGCTGCAGATACTGAATTATTCCAATAAACAAGCACTTAGCACTAACAATAACAAACAAAACAAGGTGTGACACTAGGATACTAGGGACCAAGGTAGTACCTGCTCGCTAGTAACAATATCATCCAGAGAGTTCTGAGAGAACTGAGAGAAGAATGCAGGCTGGGATGAAATTCCTTGAGAAAGAGACTGCTGAGATGGTTGCGGACGTAGTGGTGCATTTTGAATTTTTCCAAAAACCGAAGTCTCTGCTCCTGTAGGTCCAACACTCGTTCTCCTTTTCCAAAATTTCAAAAAACAATATAAAAAATCTTAACATTTCCTAATCAGGAATTCAGGATAAGATCAGTTCTGCCTGTCTCGAGTGTAGACAAACGTTTTAAATATTTTCTACCATAATGTAACCGTCTGTTTATTATATGAACAATCGCACGAACCAACAGGATCGCGAAGCGTGTAAATGCTATGCGTATATCAGTGAACTTAAAATTAGCGATGGAATCGAACCTAGAGTGAAGAGGAAGAACGGAAATGGAGCCGAGATCGCAAGCTTTGTTGATATTCAGCTTCATTTGCAGGCCTGCTCTAATCGAGGTCGAATGCTGATCGAACCAAAGTACGAATCCTAACGAATCAGTGAGTTGCTGAGACGAAACGCTTCTGACTTTTATTGTTCTGTATTATCATATAATACTACTACGTAGATTGTATGAATGAAGCAAAAAATCAGCTCTCCGCAAGCTTTTCCATCAGATATTAGTGAGGAAGATAAGCTATTTCTCCGTATTTGAGTTGAGCTTACTGCCTGTCCAGGCGTCCAGCATAACCAAAACGCGCGGAAAATTAAATTTATTAAAAACCGTTAGATCTATTTTGGAAGTAGCCTTTCTTTTCTTTCAAAAATATATATATTCATCCGTCCCGAAATTAATTTCTCACTTAGATTTCACATATATTAAGAAAATAAATTTACTAGAGACTAAATTTTAGACACTGTTTGGACACTGCTTTACACTGTATAGACGTAGATAATTTGCCAAATAAGGAAGTTGGAAGTTAATTTCGGGACTGCTCGAAAAGGAAAGTGAGAAGTTAATTTGAAGACGGAGAGAGTATTTTGGAACTCGCCTTCAAAAATGAAAACATAGAAAAATATTTTTTTAATTTTATAATACTGAAAATTATAAAATGATGAATATCAAAGAGGACCGATAACGAACTGAGCTTTTCTCAAATCATTAGAGTTCGAGCTCGAGCATAACGAATCAAGCTTAACGAGTTTCGAACTCGAACACAAGTTGAGTTTTAAATTTGAATCCATAAGCGAGCCGAGCTTGAGCATAGTAGCATTCAACTCAGTTCAAGCTCAAACATACTGAACACCGTGAAATTATAGGTTTGAGTTATATGTATGCCAAAATTTGTCGGAGTATGTAATTAATACTATGTTTTTATAATTTTAAATATGATTAATAACGAGTTGAGCACTTGTCGAATAATTCAATAACAAGCTTAGATGAGTCTAACCTAAATTTTTACATTCAAGCAAATTCATCGAGCTTATTGAGTGCTCCGTTCATACATCGAACACCTATCGGGCTATCGAGCTAAACGAGTAAACTACGTACGGAGTATTAGTTGTAATACATGGAAAAGTACCCCTCCCCTGATCATCCTAAAAGTCCAAACAAATTTGCTATAGTGATCTTCTTTATTATAATATCCACATAAATACTTTTAAGCAAATGCTGGTATGCTACCATAGTTCCACATAAATACTTTAAGCCGCCTCAAACTACACGAAAATGGCTTAAATTTGGAGCAAGTCGTTGCAGTTCATATCTATATGAAACAAACAAACCTAATGACAAGTAAATTATGCTTCCATCCGGTAATAAGATAATTTGTTTAATGACTTTATGAGAGAAAAGTAAAGATGATGGAATAAATTCAATCGTACTTTGAAATATTATGTACAAGTGAAGTGAAGAACAATTACATTTGTGATTTCAATTTGATAATATTATAGAGATGTGTTGGAAGAATTTTGATCTCGAAGAAAATATGACTTTGAACAAGTAGGCATTATTTCACACATTATAGCCGACTTTGTGCATACATGTTCTCAATATGAGTTCTTCTTGTACCCACTTTTGTACACACATTTGTACTCACCCCTTATTTTGTCTGTGTACATAGATAAACACAGACAAAATGTTGCCTTGTTTTTTAAGAATTGCCTATGCGCACAAGCAAAATAGGGGGTGAGTACAAAAGTGGGTACAAAAGTAGGTATTAACAGATCTTTTGTCTCAATATATAGGGCATGTTTGACACAACTAGCTGAAATAATACTTTTGTGAGCTTTTTAATAATTGTTAGCCTTTAGTGACTGCAAAGATCTTAAAGAGAAAAAGTGGTAGTTGTTTGGTAAAAAGCTGACCGTTTGATTTAGTTCGGTTTGATATATACAAGCTTTTAGGACTAATTAATACTAAAAGTCACAGGCTTTTTTCAGATGCTACTCTCAGTAGTATCTCAAAAAAGAACTTTTAATTTTTGAAAAGCTCTTAAAAGTTGTCATGCCAAACATATAATAAGAAGCTTTTAGAGACTTTTTGAACAACACAAAAGTTAGAACTCCTAAAAAGTAGAGACTTATGCATGTCAAACATAATTATAAGAAAATAAATATAACCAAATTCTTACGAAAAATAGACTAAAACTTTAATTCATGCTTTTTTTTTTGTACTTCTATATTTATGGTACCTTCTTTTTATATTTTGCAATTTAAGCCTTAAAGGTCTTTGTGTACTTATTAGCGTAATATCACTGATAATTTTAGTTAGATAATATTTTTGGTAGCTGAATATTTTTGGGTATCATAATATTAGGAGGATAGTTAAAACATTTACTTTCTTTCCATTTATCTTTGTACTCAGACCGTGATATATACGGCCTTGGCCAACCCATAGAATAAGGGAAAATACCTGCATATTTGTGTAATTCCTGTTCTCATATATCGTTAATTATCATGGTATCAGAGTCTGGTTTCTGCCTTTGAGATACCCGCACAATGACCACAGGACGGCAAACAGAGAAATCTGGTGCGCCGGCGAAAATTGACCTCCAAAATGGAGGAAGTGGGATGACGACTTTACCTGGGGGATGTCAGATGCACGTGACAGCCTCCAAAGGACCACAAATCCAAGCCAATGCTATGGCTTTTGAAGGAGAGATTGCTGGAAGGAAGTCAGGGGAGTCGCACCACCATCAGAGAGTCCCTTTGCTTGGTAATATGCAAATTACTACTGAACGGATGACTGGTATGTTGAGTACAAAATCTTGGATAATTGATACAGGTGCTTCCAATCATGTTACTGGGAGGATATCTAATTTATTTAATATTAAGGATATTGCCGCTCAACCGGTGGGACTTCCAGATGGCCAAACCGTCCAGGCTACTAAACAGGGATCAATCAAACTTTCAGATCAAATCTGTTTGGAAAATGTCCTTTATGTGCCAAAATTAAATTGTAATTTGATATCTGTTTCTCAATTAAGTGATGCTCTTGACTGTGTTGTTCAATTTACAGCTGATATGTGTGTTTTACAGGACCGTCACTCGAGGAAGTTGATTGGAGTGGGTGACCGGGAGAATGGACTATACTATTTGCGGACTACTTCCTTGATTCACTGTTCGTGTGAAGAGTACTTTGGCAGACTTATGGCACCGGCGACTTGGGCATCCGTCTGGGAGCATTATACAAAAATTATCTTTTATGCATGGTACTGTTGAAAACATTTCCTCCCCCTCTGATGCTTGTTTTAAAGCCAAACAAACGAGGGATATTTTTCCGGTTAGTACTAGCCATGCTAAACGAAATTTTGAACTCATTCATTGTGATTTGTGGGGACCTTACAATACTTCTTCTTCATGTGGTGCCAAGTATTTTTTGACTATTGTTGATGATTGCTCTAGAGCCGTGTGGGTTTATTTGTTAGTTGACAAAAAGGAGGTTGTTTCCATGTTTCTAGCTTTTATTGCTATGGTTGAGAGACAATTTTCCCAGCGCATTAATATTGTACGAAGTGATAATGGCACTGAATTTAATGGTCTGAAGAAATATTTTTTTGAGTTTTTTGATCATGGGATAGTGTTTCAAACCTCCTGTGTTGGGACTCCCCAACAGAATGGCAGAGTTGAGCGTAAGCACCGACATATACTTAATGTTGCTCGTGCACTTCATTTTCATGCACACCTTCCCGTGTCTTTTTGGGGAGAATGTGTTCTCACCGCGGTGCATTTGATCAATCGTACGCCCTCTAGCATTCTTGGGTACAAGACACCATATGAGCTTTTGTTTGGTACTCCACCCTCATATGACACCTTGAAAGTTTTTGGATGTCTATGTTTTGCACATGATGCGCGTTCTAAAGGGGATAAATTTTCTAGTCGCACTCGGAAGTGTGTTTTTGTGGGATACGTTTTTGGAAAAAAGGGATGGCATGTATATGATCTGGAAACCCATGAATACTTTGTATCTCGTGACGTAAAATTCTTTGAAGATCAATTCCCTTTTTCGGCGCCTATCCCCAAATTATTACCAGAGTCCACACATGAACAACCTACTCCTTTATTCGATACTTTGGATTATCCGGCAGAATACATACCCGATAATACTCCGCAGCTAGTGTCGCCAGAGTTGGAGAATACACAACAGCTTACCTCGACGCATGAGTCTTCTCCTACCTCGTTGGATCTTGTTCCTTCAACAGAGACTGTACCGCCTATTGATCAAACTCAGGTAGACGAAACCACTTCCTTGGGGCGCGGCAAACGACAAAAGAAGCCTTCCACTTGGCTTCGGGATTATCATACCCACAATATTTTTACTAGTCCATTCTCCCACCCATCTGCTTCATCATCTTCTTCAGGTACGCCGTTCCCTATTTCACATTACATTAGTTGTAATAATTTTTCAGTCAAACATCGCGTTTTCATGACAGCGGTATCTGAAAATCATGAGCCCACCTCCTTTCGAGAGGCCATGAAGGACCCTAACTGGCAAAAAGCCATGCAGGCCGAAATCTCGGCACTTCAGGATAATGGTACATGGACTTTGCAGTGACTCCCCCCTAACAAACGAGCTCTAGGGTGTCAGTGGGTCTATAAAATCAAATACAAATCAGATGGGAGTATTGAACGTTATAAAGCACGCTTGGTTATTTTTGGTAACCGACAGGTTGAAGGATTGGATTATTCTGAAACGTTTGCTCCTGTTGCCAAAATGGTAACAGTTCGGGCCTTCTTAGCTATTGCCGCTTCTAAGCATTGGGAACTACACCAAATGGATGTTCACAATGCCTTTCTGCATGGCGATCTAGATGAGGAAGTTTATATGACGTTGCCACCGAGTTTTCATACCAACGACTCCACACTTGTTTGTCGCCTTCAAAAATCTCTCTATGGTTTAAAACAGGCGCCACGTTGCTGGTTCGCCAAACTAGCTGCAGCTTTAAAAGGATATGGGTTTTCTCAGTCTTTTGCAGATTACTCACTGTTTACCAGAACACGTGGTGAGGAACAATTAAATGTCTTGGTCTACGTAGATGATTTAATCATAGCCGGTAATAACTCGGCGACTATTCACTCATTTAAAGCTTATCTGAGTGATTGCTTTCACATGAAAGATTTGGGTCGTTTGAAGTATTTTCTTGGCATAGAAGTTGCGCGTAATCCAACTGGGTTGTTTCTCAACCAGCGTAAATATGCATTGGATATTATCTCTGAGACTGGATTACTGGGTGCCAAACCCGCCACTTTCCCTATTGAACAGAATCATAATCTGGCACGCACAAATAGTGCACCTCTCTCGGATCCTGAATCTTATCGTCGTCTAGTCGGCCGACTTATCTACTTAGTTGTCACTCGGCCGAACTTAGCATATTCTGTCCATATCTTGTCTCAATTTATGCAGGAACCGTGTCATCATCATTGGGAAGCCGCCTTGCGTGTTGTTCGGTATCTCAAAGGCTCTCCTGGACAAGGAATTCTTCTTCGGACTGATAATCAACTTACTTTGGAAGGATGGTGTGATTCTGACTGGGCTGCTTCTCCTCTTACTCGCAAATCTATTTCTGGTTGGCTAATTTTTCTTGGTGATTCTCCTATTTCGTGGAAGACTAAGAAACAAAACACTGTCTCCAGATCCTCCGCTGAGGCAGAATATCGCTCTATGGCTGCCGCAACATGTGAACTAAAATGGTTAAAGGCTCTTCTTCTCAGTTTGGGTATTCAACATCCTCAATCAATACCCCTCTATTGCGATAGTCAATCGGCCATCCACATTGCTCGGAATCCTGTTTTCCATGAACGCACAAAACACATTGAAGTTGATTGTCATTTTGTACGAAATGCGGTTCAAGATGGACTCATTTCTCCTAATTACGTTCCCACTACAGTGCAACTTGCGGACATATTTACCAAGGCTCTTGGAAATACGCAATTTCAGTTTCTTCTTCACAAGTTGGGCATTATTAACCCTCATGCTCCAACTTGAGGGGGGGTATTAGCGTAATATCACTGATAATTTTAGTTAGATAATATTTTTGGTAGCTGAATATTTTTGGGTATCATAATATTAGGAGGATAGTTAAAACATTTACTTTCTTTCCATTTATCTTTGTACTCAGACCGTGATATATACGGCCTTGGCCAACCCATAGAACAAGGGAAAATACTGGCATATTTGTGTAATTCTTGTTCTCATATATCGTTAATTATCAGTACTGAGTCCGTGGTTGATTGATTCAGGTTTTCAACTACTCCCGCAAACAATTTTAAGTTTTTATTTTAAATTGTTTTCATTTGTTTCGGCTTTTTATTTTTATTTAATTGTTGGTAGTTTTTGTTACAAATAATTTGAGGCTTACCAATGTGTGAGCCCGATATGTCATATATATATATATATATATATATATATATATATATATATATATATATATATACTCTCTTCGGTCCAAATGAAATTCACATTTTGACTTCACATAAATTAAGGAAATAAATTTGACTTTACTGTAGAGTACACCGTTGTGTCACTGTTTGACACCGTTTGGCACTGTTTTGCACTGTTTTGATGTAGATAATTTGCCAAATAAGGAAGAGAGAAGAAGTGTGAAGTTTATTTTGGACCTACCCAAAAAGGAAAGTGTGAATTTCATTTGGGACCGGAGGGTGTATATAATAAATAAGTGCTCTCATTACATTAGGAAACCTAATAAATATGAAAACCTAATTAAAGTATTAATTACACTATTATACCCCCTCAAACTATGCAAGAGAAGCAATGCGCAGATTGTCTCTGAGAAAAATAAAACGTTGTAGAGACAGACACTTTGTAAAAATATATGCTAACTGAAATTGTGTAGGAACATAGCGAACCATCAGGTCTCCATGCAAAACTCTCTCACAAGTAAAATGACAATCAATGGTGATGTGCTTGCTGCGAGCATGCTGGATAGGATTCGTGGACAGATAAGAAGCTAAAACATTATCACACATGAGTTTGACCGGATGGCGAATAGGAATCCCCAATTCAAACAATATGGAACGTATATGTAGAGTATCCTGATGAACAGTATAAGCAATAGTCCTATATTCAGCTTCTGTGGAAGATCAGGAGACAATAAGTAGTTTCTTGGACTTCCAAGAGACTAATTTAGGACCCAGAAAAATAGCAAAGCCGGAAGTAGACCGACTGCTATCAGGACACCTCGCCCAGTCAGCATCAGAATAGACCCGTATAGTAGGAGAGGCAGTGCTCGGCTGAAGTAGCAAACCACGATCAAGAGACCCCTTAAGATACCTGAAAGTATGCTTAACAGCAAAAAAAAGAGAGGTATGGGATGCATGCATAAATTGGGAAACCAAGTGAACAACAAATGTAATATCAGGTCGAGTCATGGTTAAATACTGTAAAGCACCTACCATACTTCTATACTCAGTAGAATCTGCAAAGAAGTTCACCATCAGTGAGAGAGAGCTTAGTTCGTGTAGGAAGATGAGTACGAACAAGCTTCAGAGTGTGAAGATAAAACTTGGTTAGTAAATCAGACACACACTTTTGTTGAGACAGAAATAAACCAGAGGGTAATCGAACAACTTGGACACCTAGGAAAAAGTGTAAATCCCCCAATCTTTCATAGCAAAACAGCGGCCAAGACAGGAAATAAATGTGGAAATAAAGGATGGGGAATTACTAGTAATAATAATATCATCCACATATAAAAGAAGGTAAGAAACAGAGGACCCATGACGATAAATAAACAAGGAATTATCAGATTTTCTGCAAGCAAAACTATATGTCAACAAGAAACTACTAAACCTGTAAAACCAGGCTCTTGGAGCCTGTTTAAGACCATAAATAACCTTCCTGAGATGATAGACATGATGATAAAATTGTGGATGAATAAAACCAAGAGGCTGACAAATATATACCTCTTCGGTCATATTACCATGTAGAAAAGTATTTTTAACACCCAACCGACGAATGGTCCAACAAAACGAAATAGCAAGAGATAAGAAATACGAACAATAGTGGGCTTAACAACAGGACTAAAGTTTCAGAAAAATCCACACCAGCTTGTTGAGTAAACCCCAGTGCCACAAGACGTGCCTTATACCGCTCAACTGACCCATCAGAATTTAATTTAGTTTTATAAATCCATTTAATTAGATTCAACCACATTTTTACGAGGATTAAACGGGACTAAATCACAAGTATGATTATCAATAAGCGCATTAAACTCCTCTGCCATAGCAGCTCGCCATTTAAAATCTTTATTTGCTATAGAAAAACAAGAAGGATCACATGCTGAAATATTTGTTTTGAGATTAAAAAAAGTTTTGGGTTTAAAAATCCCCGATCTAGCTCGAGTTT